CTGGCATGTGATGCAACCACTGGAGCGAGTCTGATAAATACCATTATTTACAGACATCACTGGAGTAATATATGCTGGAATACGGCCGGAGAATGTTTTATAATATACAAAATATAATAAACAAACCAAAAAAGTGAATTCAGTGATTTTCAGCCATCTATCTAACAGCTACACGTTAAACAGCACTGCTAACTAGGAGAGAGGAGCTGGTTAGCATTAGCTTAGCTAGCATGATAACAGCTCTGCCCAGCACAGAACATGCTGGATTCTGGCTGACTGAAGCACTGATAATGAGTGTGAAGTCGAGCGACTGGTGATGAGGAGACAGAAAGGCAAAATTAACACTGTTCCGTGGTGTTTGGTGTCTTCAACCTGCTTGCCAAGCTAATGTTAAGTTAGCCGATCAAGCTACAGACCCAAACAGTGCCACACACCACAGTACAGGTTGATTCTGAGTAACTGCTGCTCTGCTGAAAACAAGTGTAGATGAAACCGAGGTCTGAGAGATTTAAAGACGAGTAACCGATATTGGAGTCACAGAAATTAAACCCGTTCTGTGTGTTTGGGACAGTAATGTTTTGGCTAAGCCAAGAATAGCTTGGTTAGTAGGCCAAATGTGCCACACGCCACAACACAGGCTCAGCTCTATTTAACTGATGCTAAAATGAACCTTGTTTGGAGGATATCTAAGAGCAGTCGAGTGACTGGTGTTAGAGAGAAAGCTGAAACTGAATGTGTTCTGGGGTGTTTTTAGCTCTTAGGCATTGCTGAGCCACCAGAGCCGGTTTATGAGGAGCCTGGTCTCTTCCTATTGACCCTGTTATATCACAAACAGGACTGCGAAACACCAGAAGGTGCCCATGAGCGAGTCCTCAATGAATGGGGTGGATTGAGCTAAATGGCTAAAAACGAAAAGTTAAAATAGTTTCTAATCACTTGCCGAGAACTTTCCTTAAATTTTAGAAAGTAGAAGGATGTATTTTTTTACTACAAAAAGCAAAGAGAACTCACCTACATGTTTCCTTTTTTCTACAGCAAACGGGTTTTGGGTAGCAGAACGCTAACATTACTGCAACTGAGTGCTGATTGGTCGGCGAGTGGAGAAGCTCATTGGCTGTTCGCGCTCACCGATGTCATGAATGCACATGAGGTGCCGTTTTAAATTCCTATAACTTGAGTTCAAAAGTGCTCAAAAATATGGTGGTGCTGAAATGTTTTATGCTGTTCTGTGTTCGGGAAATTATCGTATTCTTTTATGTTAAAAGTGCTGAAGCATTTATAAACAATGATCTTGCTCAAACGCAATGTCTTAATCCATTCATGTTGGACTAGCTCGGGAGCGCCCTCTAGTGTTTGAGAAACCCGGAAGACATTACAGAGGTAATTCTCCTCTCTATAGCTGCGTCCCAATTCAGGGGCTGCGTCCCTCGGAGGCTGCTTTTGAAGGCCGACTGCGTCACAGCGGTGCGACTAGGCTGTCCCATTTTGAAGGCTCCTTCATATGCAGCCGAGAAGTATCCTCCTTTTCCATGGCAATGAAGGATCCAACGGTTGGATCCTTCTCCAGCCAACATATCCTGAGGTTCACTGCATGTCGGCAAGGATTCGAGAACATGGCGGCGTCAGCGGCTGAGGAGACACTTTAAATATATGAATTGGGTTTAAACTGAGTCGAACAGCCAACGATACAAATATTAAAAAAACAATGTGGTCTGAAGCAAAACTTACACTAACATTTTGTTTTATTTCAGGGACCAAGGAGGAGACATAAGCATCTCCAGCTCTAATAAATGAAAAAATAAAAAACTAAGATCAAAGTTTCTGGCTCCATCTTTAAAGAACTTTAAAATAACTTGACAGGAGCGGGAACAGCGGGGCTGCGACGCAAACAGGAAATCTGGCATGGGACACAGCGTCTAAGTTCTCTGGAGTCACTAACATGCTTAGTTTTTCTGAGCTTTTTCCTGGCTCAGATTTTTCCCCTCTTTCTATCAGCACCACCTGTTGGTCAGCTCCAACATCACCAATCAGCGATCCCTCTAAAATGGGGGGATGTGTTTATTTGGCTGTTTAGACATGGGACAGAAATTTGACACATCATAACTTTGAAATACAGTCATGATTTTTTAAAAATACTGTCAATTTTTAAGCAGTCATAATTTTTTAAATACTGCTGTATACCTTGTTAGCATTATACCACCCAATGCTAACTTGTTTCATTTACTACTTTTAAAGTGCCTATAAAATTGATAACAATAACAATGATGACGATGATGGTTATTATTATTATTAATAATATTTATTGATTATTCTTACTTTTTATATGCCAGTAACATTTGATAACAATAACAATGATGATGATGAGATCATTATTATTATTATTATTATTAACTATTATTATTATTATTATCGTTTATCGTTATTATTATTATTATTATTATTAGTAGTAGTAGTAGTAGTACTATTAGTAGTAGTAGTAATAGTAGTAGTAGTAGTAGTAGTATTAACAGTAGTTTTAGTAGTAGTAGTAGTAGTAGTAGTTTTAGTAGTAGCAGTAGTAATAGTAGTAATAGTAATAATAGTATTAGTAGTAGCATTAGTAGTAGTATTAATAGTAGTAGTAGTAATAGTATTAATAGTAGTTTTAGTAGTAGTAGTAGTAGTAGTAGTATTAGTAGTAGTAGTAGTAGTTTTAGTAGTAGTAATAGTAGTAGTAATAGTATTAGTAGTAGTATTAGTATTAGTAGTAGTAGTTTTAGTAGTAGCAGTAGTAATAGTAGTAGTAGTAGTAGTAGTAGTAATAGTATTAGTAGTAGTATAGAAGTATTAGTAGTAGCAGTAGTAGTATTTAATATTGTGATATCACATGGCAATGTTATCATTAAAAGAGTAAAAATACTGTAGTATAAATCTGAGCTCATATCTCACACCCCCAGCACACAGAGTGAACCATGCAGATCTAATCTTTAGAATGTACAGCACGGGGCGACAGCTGCTTCGACATGCATTATACATGTTATGTATGTACATTATGAATGTTATGTGCCATATGTTTCCCTCTCCCTCTCATGCACAGACACAGTATACAGTCTTCAGTATGAACAGGATGCAGTGACAGCTGGTCTGTACGCAGTGATAGTGGCGTCCGAGTGATATGAAAATTGTGTGGTCAATATTGTAAATGGTTTTTTTTGGGGGGGGAATCAGATGACTGATATAAGCCAACATCACTCTACATTTATACTTGAGCAAAACGCAGAATACACACTCTACTTCTCTCTCCCTCTCTCTGCTGTGCATCCCTGACCAGTAACAGTAACATCTACGTGAGTAGACATGCTCTCTTTACCCCCTCTTCCCCCCAGCTCCCACCCACTGCGTGCACGCTTCCTCCAGGCCGCACGAGTCTAATGCTGCGTTACATAACGCTCTCTATAGGGGACAAAGCACATTATGCCCACCACCATCCCCTCCCCCAACACTCAATATCCTCCATACCCTACTGCAATAACACAAACCAGAATTCAGACAGCATTTCTCAGAAAGGCACATGCCGATATAATTTTTTTAAAATCACAACGTTTACGATATGACTATCTATATATATTAAAATACTATATTTAAAGGCATAACGTTATAAAGATATATTCCGAATGTCATGTTTTTAGTTTATATTCTTATTTTTCCACATGATTTGTACTAGTTTTATCTTAGAAATGCACCAACTGAAACTGAAAGTTAGTAGTTTTTCTTCTCCTGTAGGGTTTTTAGGTTTAGCTGTTTTCATCTTTTCCTCCATGAAAATGATGCTGCTGCTTGACTGTTGAACTGCACTACAGATCATTTTATATGTATTAATATATGTGTTTTATTTAGGCTATTCCGTACGTAAGCATGAGGTAAAACTAAGGACAAATTTCCACAATTATGGACAACAAAATTAATCTAGTCACACTAGAACTGCACTACTTTTGGGTATATATATATATATATATATATATATATATATACTATGATATATACACACACAGCACACGCACACACACACACAAGCTAGTCTAGGTAGGCTAATTGCTACACCACCCAAAAGAATGAAAAGCACTTCCGTAAGCTTCGGATGCCACAGAGCTCGACAGCTCACAAACTGCATGAGGGCAAAAGAGACTATTTTAGGAAGGGAGGTGAGAAGGTGCAAACGTTCTTGCTGTCTGAGCAGGATCGCGCGCGTGTGTGTGTGTGTGTGTGTGTGTGTGTGTGTGAGTGAGTGTGTGTTTGGTTGTTAACACTGTGTCCCATGTCTCTCACACCACTGAGAACGCATCAGTCCCTCAGCTCCTGCAGCAAGCATCTAAAATAAGAGCTTCAGAACACAGCCAGACTTGTTTATAGTAACTGTCCGCTTTATTAGAAACACGTACCCTGCACTTCCACTCACTGGCCACTTTATTAGAAACACCTCCTATGTATCTTCACTCACTGGCCACTTTATCTGAAACACCTGCACTGCACTTCCTCTCACTAGACACTTTATTAGAACCACCTACTCTGTGCTTCCACTCACTAGACACTTTATTAGATACACCTCCTTTGTATCTCCACTCACTGGCCACTTTATTAGAAACATCTACCCTGCACTTCCACTCACTGGCCACTTTATTAGAATCATCTTCCTTGGAATTCCTAACTGGCCACTTTATTACCATTTATCACTGGTTTCTGTTCACAGGGTCTGTCTAGATATTATTTTGGTGGTTGTCCATTCTCAGCACAGCAGTCACACTGGTAGTGTGTGAACCTGACACACTGGTCACACTGGCACAAGTGTGTCTGACACTCTGTGTTGCTGGGGTTTTTACACACATCAGTGTCACTGCTGGGTGGAGAGCAGAACATCAGTACCACAGTCTCTAACTGTACACCAGCAGTGTGAAGCTAGAAAGGAGGGGTTTCCAATGAGGTGGCCAGGCTTTGGACAGAATAAAAGAGTTAAAGCTCCTTACTTGCTCATAGTTCAGCCGCTGGGCCTCAGATATCTCCTTCGGCTTGGCATCGAGGATGTAGTCTCCTGTCATGGAGAGAGAAACACAGATACAGTTTATTATTTGTGCTCATTAAAAACACTTAAAAGCATAATGAAACATCACCATAACTCTCCTGACTTCCTGTGATTAACAAACCATCTGTTCCTGTCAATCATCCAGAAGCAGGGGATCTTCCCAAAGTCACTTTGCTCTTTTTCAGTTTTAAATAAACGGTTCAGGCAATAATGCTAACGTTGCTAATACTGAATGAAAGCGAATAGCCACCCATTAGCATGATGAAAATGATCTCAAGCAGATAAATAAAACGGACAATTACAGCATGTTATTTATCATGTATTAACTTCTTGGTGTTCCCAAAAACGTGAAATATGGAATAAAACATCTTAAAATGCCTTCCAGTGTCTGTTAATAGCTTAAAGTATTTCAATAAGTTATTATTACATAAAACATTAACACCTGAAGAGTTCCACTCCAAAAGGCTCTACAGCCATTTGAAAAAAAATCTTGCGAGAAAGAGATTTAAAAAAAAAGAATAACAGCAGACATATAAAGCAAAACAAATGTGAAAAAACTCTAATAATGGTGGTTATTTATTATTCATAACAGCACTGATATTTCTTGCAGACATAAGACCCACTACAAATAATGTATATCACAAAAAACTAGGAGAACAAAATTTGCGAACAAACTAAGTTGGCTTGACAAAGCAATTGCAATGAAATTCAATGTGGTTGCTAAGGTGTTGCTACGCTGTTGCTATGGTATCCCAGGTGGTTGTAAACTGTAAACAAAAGCTGCTGTTGGCGCTAGCCGTGTTGAACGACTGCAGCTACAGGCTAGTAACTACAAAAGCAGGTTAGCTTGTGCGCACTGATCTCAGATGAGAACGCGGCTCTGAGAGGAAACAGACATAATCATGGAGTAACAGTTTATATTAAAAATATGTTTTAGGCCCAAACTTTATAACAAAACTACCACAAAACAATGTCTCAGGTATCAAGCAATGCATTCATAACCATTTGTGTAATAATTTAATGGGATGCAGCTTTTAGAACCATTAAATGCTTTGGACGTCCGGTTCCCAGTACTATAATGGTGAACAATTTTGACTCTGTAAATTTCTCTAGAAAGACGCATTTCACACCGAACCACTCTGAACGATTTTGTTTACAGGTAAACCATTGAATGATTAAGTAGTTTTCCAAAATCAGTGGAGTTCCCCTTAAAGATGCTGATCACCCATTGCTGTGTGGTCCCAAGTAGTTGCTAAAGTGTTGCTTTGGTATTCCAGGTGGTTGTTAAGGGGTTCCTAGGCCATCGGCATGTTATCTCAGGTTGTTGTTAAGGTGTTGCTAGGCCATTGCTATGTTATCTCAGGTGGTTGTTAAGGTGTTGATCACCCATTGCTGTGTGGTCCCAAGTGGTTGCTAGGGTGTTGCTTTGGTATTCCAGGTGGTTGTTAAGGTGTTGCTAGGCCATTGGCATGTTATCTCAGGTTGTTGTTAAGGTGTTGCTAGGCCATTGCTATGTTATCTCAGGTTGTTGTTAAGGTGTTGCTAGGCTGTTGCTATGTTATCTCAGGTGGTTGTTCAGGTGTTGCTAGGCCATTGCTGCGTTATCTCTGGTGGTTGTTAAGGTGTTGATCACCCATTGCTGTGTGGCCCCAAGTGGTTGCTAGGGTGTTGCTTTGGTATTCCAGGTGGTTGTTAAGGTGTTGCTAGGCCATTGCTATGTTATCTCAGGTGGTTGTTAAGGTGTTGATAGCCCATTGCTGTGTGGTCCCAAGTGGTTGCTAGGGTGTTGCCAGATTTAGATTTGAATTCACAGCCGCGTTTGAATGAACGCTGTACGATGTACAAGCAATCGGTCCCAAAAGAATAAGCGCGCTATTCCTGTAAAAGGCTCTAGGATCCTGAAAAGTTTTGTGGTTCTAGCTCAAAAAACATGACCTGTGAAAACTGTATAAAAGAAATGCATAATAATAAACAAAGAACAGTAAGTTGGCCGTCAACCCAATGTAAAAAAAATAATGATGAATGTGATTTAGACTAGAATAACAGGTGATTCAAGACATTTGAATGGTAGCGTACATCATCCAGCCCTACCAGCAACATTATCCTGTATGGTTTATGTATTATCATCAATTATCATTATGAAAAAGCTCCTAATCCAGATGAAGGGGCAGCGCAGGGAGCACACAGGCTACTGCAGCTGCTTTACTGGAAAAGCTAAATCAGGATCACAGGGTCAAAGCAGCATTTCACTGTAAAATAGCCTTAAAGAGACTTTAACTGCAGAGAGAAAACGAGCAGCCTCTGGCATAATAATCAAACACTTCCTCTCGCAGGAGCCACGTTATTACATGACAGCCTCTGTCACTGGACCGTCCACTATTACGGCTCACAAACTGTTCATTAGTATGTACAGTACACTGTATTATTATGCTGCAGTCTAATAGGCTACTTCACTTGCACTGTGCTATTCTGCTGTTACAGTTAATCTACAGGTCTGTATTTTTGTTCACATTTCTATATATTTGAGCCTAGTTACTGTACTGTAATTGTTATTACTGTATTGCACTTTCCTGTTTAATTGTGCTATGTGCAGTTTATGTCTTGGCCACTTGTGTGGTCCAGTAAATATAGGCCCAGTCTTGTATGCAGCACTGAAGCCCTGGAGGAGTGTTAATTCATTCTGCCGTATACTTGAATATGGATGGGCTAAAAATAAATTAGGGCAAGTAGGGTCAAATATTTTTATATTGTATAATATAGTTATACTGTACTTACAGTATACCTTGCAATATATTTAAAAATGCACTGGTGAATTATTAATGTGACACAGACAAGATATCAGATTGTCTTGTCATCTTATCTACTGTTCTTGGGTCTTGTACCCTCTTATCACATTCAACACGAAAAGAGATAATAAATAGCTTGTCTAATGTCCATCACAGAAAACAAGTTCCACACGGCCGACATTCTCACTCTTCATCTGCTGCTGCTTGAACTGAACGCGACTGGACTGTCCACTATTACTGTTCACAAACTGTTCATTAGTATGTGCAGTACACAGTATTATTATGCTGCAGTCTACTAGGCTAGTTTACTTGCACTGTGCTGTTCCGCTGTTACAGTTAATCTACTCAGGTCTGTATTCTTTTTCACATTCGTACACATTTAAGCACATTAAAGCAAAGAAAACAAACAGCATTTTTAATCCTCATTTCTCATTTTTACCATTGCAATTATTTTTATTATTTTATTTACATTTTTATTTGTAATTTGTTATTTTTGGTCCAACATCTTGAGTATTTTTGGCTGAACATTTTCAGTGGCCAAAAATTTAGTGCATCCCTCATTTAATCCCAATGCCCACATCAGCACATCCCTTATTAGACTGCACTATATTTACCAAAGTAAAGTAGTTTTACTGGATTATAAGAATACTTTGACTCATCTGGATCTGTGATTGGTCACAGCACAGTTAAAAAAGAAATAAACAAACAAAAAAAAAATTACTATGATTGGTTAGATGGCTCAAAGAAAGATCAACATGTATATTAAGTTCTAGATCTTGGGGTTGATCAAAGCTTGGGTTGATTTCAATACTGAAAACCATACAAATAATTAAATAGTTAAACGTAAACAGTCCTGTTTAACTTCGAGATTCTCTGTGTGATCTGAGTGAAACATTTTCAGTGGCTGAAATTTCAATGCATCCTAATTTGATCCCAATTTCTATATTTAATAACAATTTATGTATTATGGAGTTGCTTTCGTGTCAAAAGTTTCAAATACAATAATAAAATCCACAAGCAGAGAGTTAAAGATCAAAATGTCCAAAATACGCTGCAAATACAAATAATGAGAGTTAAATCAAACCTAATTTTTCAAAAAGATTACTGCTCATTTTCACTCATTTTGCCAGCTTTCGTTTTACGTTTTTTCTGTTTATCGATTTTGCTGATATACACTATATGGACAAAAGTATTGGGACACATCTCTAAATAATCAAAAAGGTGTTTTATTCAGTCCCATTGCCACAGGTGTATGAAATCAAGCACCTAGCCATGCAGTCTAGCTTTACAGACACTTGTGAAAGAATGGGTCGTTCTAAAGAACTCACTGAATTCGAGCGTGGTTCTGTAACAGGATGTGATCATTGCAACAAGTCCGTTCGAAATTTCTTCCCTCCTAGATATTCCACAATCGACCGTGAGGGGTATTATTGAAAAGTTTAAGAACCACAGCAACTCAGCCACAAAGTGTCAGACCACATAAAGTTACAGAGCGGGTCACCGAGTGCTGAGGAGCAAAGTGCATGAAAGGTCACCAACGCTCTGCTGACTCAATAACTGCAGAGTTTAAACCTCCTCTGGCATTAATACCAGCACAGAAAATGTGCCACGGGAGCTTCATGGCAGGGTTTGCATGGCTGAGCAGCTGCATGCAAGTCTTACATCACCAAGCACAATGCCAAGCGCCGGATGGAGTGGTGTACAGCACACCGCCACTGGACTGTGGAGCGGTGGAAACATATTCTGTGGAGTCTGGCAGCCTGATGGACGAGTCTGGGTTTGGTGAATGCCAGGAGAACATTACCAGCCTGACTGCATTATGCTAACAGTAAAGTTTGGTGGAGCTGTGTCCGCTGTGTCCTCTAAAGGGCTAACCAGGCAAGCTTTGCAGCTGTTTAAATCATTGTTTCTTAAAAAAACAGCTTCTGGTGACCTACAGTCAGGTCCTGCATATTTATTGTTATGATTTGACCCTAATTATTCCATTGTAATTTAGCATTACATTGCACTTTCCTATTAGATGTGCTACATGCTTTGGTCACTTGTGTGGTTCAGTAAATATAGACATAAAAAACACTGTGAATGGATAGAAGTCTCATATACTGTCCAGCCAGTCTGTTGAAGCAATATGCTACTCTGCTATACATAATATCTATTGTGAAAAACACAAAAACAGTTAAATATTTAAACGTAAACAGTCCTGTTTAAATCCACAGTCGCCCC